ACTAGCATTTGAACAAACAAACAAACAATATTATTATGTTAAGTACAGATAATCTGGCTTAGCTTTCAGTACACGTGACAAACGTACCAATGAAGACATAATAAGGTCGGTACACAACGTCAATGTGTGAAAACAATACTAAATTACATGTTTCGGTACCGAGAAGAAAGGCGTAAAAGCTGGGTCTTAAGATTTTTCTTCCAGATTTGTTTTAACTTAGATTCTGTACCTACATATATGCAAAATGTGGTGTTATAACAAAATATTGTAAAATACTTCGTCAATCCGCAGTGACATAGAATACTTATTCGATCTAATTTGGAGTAAAAATATGCTTTTACGTTTTTATAATAACTATAGTAAGACATACTAAATTAACTACAATCGCGGGTTACTCACGTGAATATACTGAGAAAAGCTCTACTAGTTTCGAACCACAGAGGGGTTCTTCCTTATGAGCAGCGTGCGCGACAGAGCTTTTTCAGTATATTCACGTGAGTAACCCACTATTTTAGTTAATTTCGTGATATTTGCGTCTTCATTGAAGAAGGTCGTAAGGAAGTATAATGGATGCAAGTGGCGAGTTATCGTTCAACGTGGAATAATGGGGAAACTTTTGGAGGTTTTGCAGCTGATGACGTGTGAGGTAGTTTATCATATAATTATGAATCTCAGAAGCATTGCAAAGCAAGTTTTAAATAACGAAAATGCAAGTCCATCAAAGCCCACAAGTGAGAGACAGGCCGCCATATCTCGCAGTTCCACACGTCTCCGTACATATCTCCACAAGGTAAGAATGTGAGTGAATATGTAAATGTCTCGCGACACCCACGGAATGCGACGAGCGACGAGCTTAAATTCTAGGTGACAGAATCATTTATTGTACTGAGGGCCTAGAGCGGGTTCGTGTTTCACATTAGCACGATCGACACGTTTATGACAACGATGACGCGTTTGGCACTCTGATTAGCTAACACCAAATAAACTGCATGGTTGGTGCGCTGGCTGGGCAACCGGCTGCCGTGCACACCGTACACACCGTGTACACTTTGTGTGATCCACAAATTGTTGTTTCGGGTCTGGGTGTCATGTGTATGTGAACTTGTATGTTTGTAAAAGCATCCACGACACAGGAGACAATCCTAGTGTGGGACAACCAACGTTTTTTTTTTAAACTCGTACTAGGCCCTCTGTATAGCGAATTGAATGTATACATAATACATGACTATTGAAAATTTGGAAGTGAAGATAATTTACTCTTAATGGCTACTTCCTCTTGTGGAATTATGGTTAAATTTGGTATGTAATCTATACTGTGTCTTATAGTAATAATATAAGAGCTGACAATGAATATAATAATTACTTCAATGAATTTTAAAATACATTATAAATCACTCCAATGACACGTTACCCATCATTTTTACTTGTTACACAAACTTTCAGAAATATTGTCAAACTAAACCAGGATTACTCAAAGGCTGGAGGAAAACAAAAGAGTATTTTGTCTTTCAATAAAGGAGAACCGAAGAGGGCAATCTCTGGGGACACACAGAGTCGTCAGTTACCTCGAACCTCGAACGGCCGAGTTTACAAAGGTAACCATTTGCCAGAGAACACAAACGTATTGACGGAGCTTTGGATTGTTTATGGTAAACGTAGTTTTACATGTGTTGTAAGGAATGGGTTAGGCAGTAGCTTAAAATATATGCATGTCCAACTAGCTGTTGCCCGCGACTCCATCCGCTTAGAATATGAGTTTTTAAGAATATGTGGACATCATAATAAGTGAACTTTCGCATTTCACAAAATCACGCTTGTAATCAATCAATATAATTATGAGTCTCTTTCTATAAAAATTACCGGATCGGGCAAAGTATTACTGGGTTTTAAAAAAATTCTCAATAGTAGCACTGAGTCTGGAATTGTGCCCGATACATATACCTATACGTGTACAAGGGACTCATAACATAAATAGTGAAAGTGGTTACTAATTTATAATATTTCTATCGAAATAGAAAAGATAAAGTTGTCTCAAGTTCAATAAATGACATGTACCTCCTACAGTATTTATTCTCGCTGTCTGCTATCAATCCAAACTGGCTTACTGTCAAAACTTTACTAGACACGATACATCTGTTTTCTTTTAAAGTTTATGGCCGCAATTCTCCACTGTATATAAGATTAAATGAATTGGTTGAGTAAAGTGAAGAATTGGGTAGTTGCCAGGGTATCAAAATTAAAAATCGAACTAGTCCGTCAGTTAGATAATGAAAAAATGTTAGACACGTATTTTTTTATTTTCTTGTATTAAGTAGCAATACTTAGATAAAATGGCGCTAAGTTTAGGAGTGGGAGGTCGTTACGTCATAACGTGCTACAAAATGTGCCACGCTGTAACGTCACACGATATTTCAAATTAATATATCGTCGAAAGTATTTAATTTTGTGAGAAAAGAAAAAATACGAGTCTTAAGTTTTAAATTAATGTATCAGACGGACATTAAAATAAAATTTAGGAAACTACCCTATTACGGGTAACCGGGGCTCCGGCTCGACGTGCAGGAGAAGGAACGGGGTGGTTTTTAGTCAGTAAGAGTCTGACACTCCCTCCCGCCTCACCCAGGCGGTGATTTTCCCCCCTTAAAATAACCCTATTATAAGATGGATATTCCAATTTGATATTTTAAGAATGGACCCTTCGTCACGGTAATAATATCATACAGTTGATACAGTATTCCAACTTCAAACAAACGCACGAAATGCGAGCTATACCTACGCGCCTTGATATCGGGTTGCGCTCCGGGCATAGTCAGTCACGGCTGTACCGCAGTGACGAACGGACGGTGTGTTGTTTTTTAACAATAACCGCATACATATTTAATATGGCGAGTAGGAAATATTATGTTGTTTGGTTGCCAATATTTTTCGGTCGCAAATTTATAAGCCCGATTTGTTTTTAAAAAAAAAAACATATTGTTTTTAAAAATTAAATCTACCAATCAAAACACACCACGCATTTTTATTGAACACTTCCTATTTAATATACAAAGTATTTTATTTGTTTATTTAAAAAACCATATTTACAATTACAAAACGAAATAAAAACAGAAAGTAGGCAAATGTAATGCTGGAGACGACCAGCCCTAAAGCATGTTTATGCACCGCGCGGCTGTAGATATTTAACTGTCTGTCATGCTTAGTTTCAATACTGTATGGGTATATTACCGTTCTATTTTTTGTGATCTCAAGTCGTAATACTGATGCAATATAAATTTCAACCGACTTCAAAAAAATTTGATGTTCCAATGATTGTTTTTTTTGTGTTTTCACCGATTATTCCACTATCAGTGGATGGGTAACGGATCCTACTACCTTTTGTTTATTTTTGGGTTTTTTGAAGTCGGTATTTTGCAGCAAAATTTGTGTAAGCAAAATTATGTTAAGGTAGGAATGATTAGGAAGCAACGTAGTGTAATGTTACAATCGACAAAATATTCAATAAAATTAGCTTTGAATCACATACTCTTTTTTAAATCGTCCACAGCATTTGAGTCGCCATTATGCTCCGTCCACCATGAAAACATGTTGGAATTCTTTTAAATCTTATACACAAATGCAGTACAATTCCCATATTCCAATTGTTCGTGTAAATTTCGAATTTTCTGATAAAATATTTTATGAAAGGCTTCCATGTGAATTTATATGTACTATGTTATACTATTTATAAGGCATCGAAAAACTCGTCCGCATCGACGTCAGTGGGGAAAGTACCCAGAAGGCTGGCAGCATTGCCACGTTGTATGGCAATGCTTAACCTCTGACCGAGAAAAAGACCAGCCCTCTGGTCACGAGATGTGTCGACCAGGCTTTTCGAAATGTTTTTGAACAATTTAAGCGCACTCGGACCCCACGGACCTAACGTTTCAACCCCAAACGGCTCAAAGATATAACTACCAGCAAGGTTGTTATAC